AGATACTTGTAAATAGCCTTTAAAAGTCTGTCCGCTTCTCCAGTCTACCTGGAATTGCTCAATGCGCTTTCAAAGTTCTGGCAGACTTGGGACACTACTAAGAAACTGCCCGCTGGTTTTATTAACAATATTGCAAAAATGCTTCAGGTAGAACATGTGCATCCTAAGTTTCTGAGACTGTTCCTTGATCTTCAAGAAATACAGGTTAAGCACTTTGGTGAGTTGTCTTTTTCCCTGTTATTTATTAAACACTTTCCTAGAGTTCTGCCTCTTTTTAATTACGCATTGAGTTCTGTTTGTGGGCTGGTCTAACTTCTTAGCTTTCTGCTACATAAATCCAACTTTGCCCTTTCTGAGAGTCCTGGCTGTACGTTCTTTAATGGCAGCACACATTGTCCCTCTTTACTATTTATTTATTTTCCCACTAGAAGTCGTAAGGCTTTAGAGTGAGAGGTTGAGCTTTCGCTTTTGGCCTAAACCCAAGAGTGACCGTCTCCAAAAGGTGCGTTGGCACCAAGGCATTTCTTCCTGGGGAGGCAAAGCCAGGCAGCATAGCTGGGAGGGCATTTTGCTGCCATTGCATCTAGGATAAAAATCCACCCTCCATTAAATGGCATGCTTAACTCTCCCCGCTCCCTTCCCCCTCCAGATGTTATGCAATGCAGAAGCCCGGCTGCCGCACGCTGAAGCGCATCCAGCGCCGCAGGTTTGAGGGAGGGGGCTCAGTGGGATGGTGGGAGTGATTTTTGTGGTAAAGTCAAGTTCCAGGTGCCTACAGCTCTTGGGTGTTATGTGATAGGACGGCCAGGAACGTGTCTGAACTTGTCTAGACTCATCTACCTACATAAGAAACTCCTCTTGAAAACCCTTTGTGCTAATGTTTTAAAAATAGGGATTGTTTCGGTCAGACAGCGGATGCTGAACGAGCGCTGAAATACCAACTCACGGTCTTCCTAATGCACGGATGGCTGCAGGTCCCTGACTGGATGGGACCTGGGCAGATCGGACTTTCCCAAAACACTTGCAAAACAAAAGCTCTTAAGCGTCAGCCTAGCCTTGACTGTCAGCAGTATGGATTAGTGTAAATGTTAAGAGCGGAAGAAACTTTGCACAGAACGTGCATTTTATTTTTTGTTGACACACTCGGTTAAGGCCTATTTCATAAAAGTCATTCGATTCCTCTAAAGCTGGTATGGAAATTGTATTGTGACAAGGAAGAGGAATTTTTTTTCTCTATCTCTCTTCTTTTTTTTTTTTTTTTTAATTGGAGTGTATACCAACTCTGAGGGCGAGAGGCTGCAGCGTAAGGCTTGGAGCTTCTTTAATTCTGTGAGAAAGTGAATTAATTTGATTTGAAGTAGCTAGTGGTGCTAGATTTAAAATCCTTATTTCAACACAGTTGGCTGTGAAGGGATTCTTAATTTGGAAACTTAATTTAATGTATGTATATTTCAGTAATTTACATGTAATATTTCTTTATATTCTTTTTTTAGCTTTTGTTTAGAAAGCTGAATTTTTATTAGTCTAGTAGGTGTGATAGCTAATTGAAATGTGTCAGATAATGATGGTTTCCATTGTGTGTGTGGGAAAAAAGTTTTATTGTTGCAAACCCTAGAGTTTTTTGATCTAGCTTTATGGTGAAAAAGGTCTTCTTAAGGTCATTTTTTGTAAGGTACTCGGATCTCTTCTGGAGGTCCTCAATTTTTTTTCATATACTTAGAAGAATTTGTAGCTGTATCATGGTTTAACTAGTACTCTAAAGATGACATTTTTGCGTGGAAAAATTTTCTAAGTTTATCTCGGAAAATACTACAGAAACCTGCTGTAAAACCTCTTTCTATATTGTGTAAGATGTAGGTCATTTCTGTATGTATGAATGAGGGGAGCCAAGGTGAGGTAGGAATTGGCTGGTGCTGATACCCATTTTTACATCAGAGATCTGACATTTTCGAGCATAGCAAGGAAAATGTATCTAACACTTCTGTGCAAGTGTTTTATTGGTCTTGGAGAACAGACAGAATATTGGCTTTTACAAAAATTAAAATTGCCTTTTAAAGGCAGGTTTTTATCCCTGTGGGTGGGCTGTTTAAATTCTTTATATCAAACGAACCACCTATATTGCCCAGAAGTGTATGTACTTGATTGGGAGTCTAAAGACATGTTTTAGCTAATAGGTTGGGGTTTTTTTTAATTGGTTTTACTCTGACTTTGTGCAAGTGTTTAATTTTTGCTTTCTAGCAAAGATGATAGGATGCTACTTTAAATAAAACTTGGATCTGTGGATGAAAGCATTATCTGTTAACAATTGTGTTAACAAGTGCTGGACTACAGGTACTATTCAGAGAAATACTCAAAGTATATTTAGGTAAGACATCAGGACATGCTGAATTTAACAGACTCAAATCAACAGGATTCACCCACACATGATGCATTTCCCACAATGGGTAACACTGGTACTCCTGGTCTTGATTTTTAACCCTGCAGGTGTTTGCAGAACTGCCATTAAAAAAAAAAAAAAAAAGCACGCAGACATCCTCTGTTAACAGATTTTTGGACTGCTTTTCAAAGCATGTGTCAGGAAAAACTCAGCCTTGAAATGCTCCTTCTCAGCTCAGGCACCGGTTACCACGTGTTGGCCAAAGGACAGTACTGGTGCGTGGGCAGGCTCTTCACCTCCGTGTCCTCGGCTTTCCCGCGCTCACTGCATTTAAAGGGTTTGCTGGTACAATATAGCAGTCATCCTATGGTAGATTTTTTTCCTCCCCCTACCCCCCACCCCGTCTTCAAATAGTTGTGTGTTACGTTTCAAAGATCTATGCAAAAAGCATATCTAGAGAGCAAATACAAGGACATGCGAAGTCAGACTGTGTGGCCATAAAGTTTTTAGGCATTACCGATCAGGATACAAGTATAGAGGTGGAATGTGTGGCCTTAGCTGCTCCTGCACCGTGAAACCTTTGATTGTGTGGTTAAAGCAAAAGCCATTTTTATTGATTATAGTACGGCTCTACACGATTGGTCTGGTAGAGGGATTCCCTACAACTAGCTGCTGTCGTTAAAATAACTGCATTTTTATTCCAACCCTTGCTTAAACACCAGCAACCCCCCAAGAATTTAGTTGATCTCTTAAATCAAAACACTGGTTTTATATCATTCTTCAGATGCAAATCTGCATCTCTCATTACCGATCAAATACTTCTGATTATAGATCTGATAGGTGGTTAGATTTGTTGTGGGGAAAAAAAAGTGTCTGTTCTTGTCTGGTCTTATATCGGGATCTCTTCCCTAGTTTTTATTTGGAAATCTTGACTGAAGTGTGAACGAGGCAATGTTTTTGTTGATGTCCAGTAAACTAATAACCGCTATGAGCGAACTCCATCCGATTTTCAATGGATGTTCTGTCTTGCTACATTGACTGAGTTTTCCTCTTTTTCCCCACACGTGAGAAGTCAAAGAAAGGTAGGATTTTCTCTTTC